AACGAACTGGGGAGGAGGGTAGAGAAAACAGTGCAACAATGAATGAATGAGAGCCCAAAATCTCTCTAAAGGTTCATGAAAACTAATAAAATTTAATAATAATTTAAAAAAATAAAAAAGAGATGTTACACAATGCTTTGTTCTGTAGCTAGACAGCTAATATCACATGTTTTATTGCTTCTTAAAACAGAGTGCATCCTGTAGTCAACAAGTGTATTTGGTGAGATTTTTCTTTTCTTGGAATTTCTTTGAGTAGACAGACGTAAGTGACAGAACCAAGATTTGATGACAAGTTGTATTCTTATTATGATACAATTCCTCCTCCCAGGACCTGGGTAAGATGACTTCAGAAAATACAGCTTAAGGTAGGGAATATGAGGGAAAGAAAATTTTAAAAAGGGGATAGAAACAGAGTAGAAAAAGTCCCTGCAAATAAGAATCCTTGACTACTGTTTCAAATTTCTTATTTGATAAACATGTTCTTAGGTGCTGTTGAGTCAACTGTGCCCCATAGGGGCTCTGTAAACAACAGATCTGAACCTTGTCCTATCCTGTGTCATCCTCACAATCTCCAGAGTGCTTGAGGCCACTGTTCAAGTCACTCTGTCAGTCCATATTATTGAAGGTTGTCCTTTCTTCTTTCACTCTACTTTTTCCAGCACCTTTTCCCAGGGACTGCTCCCTTCAATGACTGGCTACTTCTGATCCCTGGTAACTTAAGGATTTCAAAGACAATGGCTACTAGGTTCCTCTTGGGTTATTATAAAGCAATAATTACCATCCAGTTTATGAAAATCCAGAAGATTTTTATTCCTTCTCCCAAAAAGAATGCTAGAACTTTATGAAAGATCTAGCATAGCCTCTCTTTTGTTCGAAAATGTGCCTTAAACTTTTCAAAACATTAAAAGACACTAAGAGACATTTCATGCATTAAAACTCAACCTTTCCTGCATCAAAGTCCAAAGTCACCAGTTCGTAAATCCCTGTGCGTGGCCACCAGCTTGGCAAGCATGGTGCAACAATGAAGTCCCTGCTCCTTCTGTAGAAAACCATCTTTCTCTGGAGACTGAGCACTTTCCCTAGAAACCATCAGGGTGTTGGCTGTTCATTGGTTTGGTAAAAACTCTCCTCTCCATGGTGCTGGGGATCCTAGGGAGGTGCGGGTAATTAGAACACATCTTTGTTAATGACCACTGTGCCTTTAATACCAGCCTGCTTCTCTTTTCAAGGCTAAGTGTTTCTTTTGGCTGATGGCCACCAACTTTTGTATTTGAAAAGAAAAAAGAAAAAAGAAAAAAGATAGCTGTTTGTTAGTTGTTATGCACTGTTGAATTGGAACCAACCCAGAGTTGACCCTCCAGTGAGTTTTCAGGCAGTAAATCACATGGAGAATCAGGTCTGAAGTAACATATTACCCCTCAACTCATCATCTAGGCAAGCCTTTCCACAAATAGGTCTCATCCTCCATCACAGCACTATTCCTCTTCCGCCTGGTTCAATGAACACACATATCCTATCCATCATGCTGTGACTCACAGCAGTGCCTGACTCTGCCCATCTCGGCTCCCATCTCCTCCGTCCCAGGTGAGATCTCCTCCCTCAGATGTGTCTTCTCTGGCTCCCCCATTCCACACAGTTCTCCCTGTTCTTTCAGTCATTGTCATCCAGTTCAGCACATGTTACATGGGTTGTTTCATTTCTTGAGCAGTGGCACAGTGGTTAAGTGCTTGGCTGCTGACCAAAAGGTAAACAGTTTGAATCCCCCTAATAATTCCATGGGGAAAGACCTGATGATTTGTTCTTGTAAAGATGATAGCCTTGAAAATTCTACAGGGAAATTCT